GAAACGTTGACGAAATATCATATTTTGAAGAAAATAAACTATCTCATTTACAAAAACGAAGGCAAAAATCATAGACAAGTTGTCTCGTACGTATGTTGTGCGTCGTCTCTCTTCGACCGGATGAAAATCTACGCCTTGTTTAGGTCGTTTCGGGTTTTGAGCTGGTGAAGCGGATCGGTGGGAGTTAAAAGAGTTTTCTCTGCTCGGGGTTTGGGTTTTCATTACTGCATTTCTCGTGACCTCCGGGAGAATGGGTCCGAGGATCAGGCTCTTTGCTGTTTCGGATTCAACGGTCGGAGACGGCGACGTAGCCGCAAAGGATAAGTTCTCTTAACCGTCGGTTGTTGCTTGGAGTGTCTCTTGCTTACTCGGTCTTGTCTTTGAATCCTGTATTGCTATTATCGATTATTTTACTCAAATTTTAGCTTTGCTTTCCAATTTCTCAGTTCAAGTTTTTGCTTAATTTTGTCCCATTACTCTCTGTAAGATCCATGGCCGATGAACCCCTTTGTTGGGGTTTTTAATAAATATTTATATTAAACAAAAAAAAAAAGAAAAAGTTGGCTCGTATGTCTATTTTTAGAGTAACATGGATTTTACCGCATGAGAATATATTATCATGCTATTTGGTTTAATTACATGCAAACAAATATACCATTTCTATCTACGCTTCTGTCAGTGCTATTTTCTGCCAATTTTGATTGAAAATTCGATTATGGATTTGAAATTGCACACTATATTACTTAAAGTATATCCAATTCATTATCTAACATACAAAATACAATAAATCAAAATACAGTAACTAACAATATAAAATCTTGATTTTATGTTTTTACCTTAATGAAAATTAACAAAGATAATTATGTTTCTAATTATAGTTAACTATGTTCGGAATCTAAGAATTATATTTCTGATAAATAGTTAACAATTTATTTTATTTTATTTTCGTTATCCAAATTATAATAGATAATTACGTTCTGAACATAATTAACTATTTTTGTTTAAATAAATAACTATTACAACAACATTTTCATGTAGTCATTTATGTTATGAAATCAGTAGAATAGACAACTATGCCCTGAAAATAGTTAATTATGTTTTTAAATTGGTAACTATTTTTTCAGAAAATAGTTAACTATGTTTTAGATAATTACAAAATAGTGTGAGATAATTAACTATTTTCTGAGATTAATAGAATATGAAATTTCAAAAATATAGTCAACTATTTCATTAAAAACAGTTAATATTTTTATGGATTCATTTAGGGGTAATTTCGTCTCTTGCTTAATTCTCTCTATTATTTACATAATTCCATTTTTTTAAACATGTTATTTACTTAATTTTTTTTCTCCCAAAAATGATATTCAATTACTTAACCTTTCCTTAATAAAGAAGGTCAATATTTAAACTAATAACCGAAACAAGCATATCTTCACAGTCACAAGTAATAGTATTTTAATGTATTTTTTTCAAGTTTTTAACTACTGCATTAAGAACAAATTCACCATGTTCTGAATTTATATGACAGCTCAACATCTCATAGATTTTTGGACGAAAATACATAAAAACACAAGTTCTTACAATAATTAACATTTTTTTTTAATTTGTGAAACTAGTTTTGAGGAAGAATTTTTTTGGATTGTCTTGTCTCAGGAGGTCCAATGAACAAACCAGTATCCACTTCCATGTCATTGTCATCTATGTTCACTTCTGATGATAATGTTGATGATGCCACTACCATTGCTCCCATTCCACGACACTTTTATTTACATAATTCACCAAAAACTCTTAAATAAGAACATATACATTTCATCATCCTAAGAATAATAGATTTTATGACTACAGAAATTAAAATCTTACCTTCTCCTTTAGTTCTTTATTTTCCTTAATAAGCTTCCTTTCCTACAAGATTTGGACAAGAAATATAAACTGATAAATCTTTTCTCATTTGAAGTATTGAAATCGGAAAAGATCAGTTACATTACAAATGCATATATGTAGAGACATTTAAAGAGAAGAAAAAGCTAAAGTATGAATATTGTTTTACCTCTTCCTTCAACTTCTCAATTTCTTCACGGAGCAATTGGTACTGAAAAGTGAAAACAATTGAATTAAAAAAAAAATGTAAGCAAATTCCCATTAAAAATAGTATAATTTTGTGAATAGACCTTTGTTAGGCCATTTATATTCCAAGGAATCCTACAACAATATTATCTTATACCTTCTTTGCTCTTATCCTGGTCAAGCTTCGGTCCAATTGATTCTCTAACTGTTGCAGCTCCTCAATAGAACATGCATCAATACCTTCTCCAAGCAGTTTTCTGCAATTATTTTAACAATCAAAAGATCTTGATTATTTTAGTAATTAATTCATATCAATACATAATGTTTTTACAGAGAAC